CCACCACGGCCCTCGCTGTGGAGCCGGGCGGGCGGAGCAGAGTCCGGGAGCTAACCTGGAGCCAACAGGCCAGGCATCCAGGAAGGGGCGTGGCAGCAGCCTTCTTGGTGTACAGTGGCCCTGCAGGGGGAGCTGCGTGGCTGCCCTGGTCCTGGACCGGGCAGTGGGAGCATAGGATCCCGCATCTACTTCCAGAGTCCCCCTGGGGCCCCCAGGTGAAGGCAGCGGGGGGTGGGGGTAGGGTTAGGGGGGACTGGGATGATGATGGCCCTGTGAGACAGCAAGGGAAGGTCACCATCAAGTATGACCATAAGGAGCTACGGAAGCACCTCATCCTGGAGGAGTGGATCTTACAACAGCTCACTCGTCTCTACGACTTCCAGGAAGAAGAGATCCCAGAGCTGGAGATAGATGTGGATGAACTCTTGGACATGGAAAGTGATGATATCTGGGCTGCTAGATTCAAGGAACTGTTAGCTCACTGTTACAAACCCACTGAGGCCTTCATCTCTGGCCTGCTGAACAAGATCCGGGGCACGCAGAAGCTGAGCACACCCCAGAAGAAGTAGGGTCCTGACCCAGATGACCATGGCTCCCACAGGAAAATCGCTGCACCCTAACCTTGTAGCAACAGGAATACTGGGGACCCAGCAGCCAGGCCTGGTGCCATGAACAGGGATTCTGGTGCCTCTGCCTATGGGCCACTTCCCTTGCCCTCAGTTGTCTATTTTTGTTTGTTTGTTTTTGTTGTTATTAAACTGATGGAACTTTTTGTGTTTTTATTTATTTATTTATTTATTTATTTATTTATTGATTTTTGTGTTTTTATATTGATTCTACGGCACAGGCTCTTTAAAAATAAAGCTAGGATACACCTTTGGAGCAAAAAAAGAAAAAAGAAAAAAATATGAATGCACAACATATCCAAATTCATGGAACACAATGAAAGCAGTGCTAAAAGGAAGCTTCATAGCATTAATTGTCTTCAAAAAGAAATTGCAGAGAACCCATACTAGCAACTTAACACCACACCTAAAAGCTCTAGAACAAAAAGAAGCAAATGTATCCAAGAGGAGTAGAAAGCCAGAAATAATCAAATGGAGGGATGAAATCAATAAAATGGAAACAAAGAGAATAATACAAAGAATCAATGAAACAGAGTTGGTTTTTTGAGAAAACCAACAAGATTAAAAACCCCTTTTATAAACTAAGAAAAAGACACAGATAAAATATCCAAATTAACAAAATCAGAAATGAAAAGGGGAGGGCATAACAACAAACACTGAGAATCATCAGGTCATACTTCAAAAACTTGTATTCCACAAAATTGGAAAATCTAAAAGAAATGGATAATTTTTGATAGATGCCACTTTACAAAGTTAAATCAAGATTAGATGAACAATTTAAATAGACCTATGATCCCTATGGAAATAGAAGCAGTCATCAAAATCTCCCAAATTTAAAACAAAAAAGCAAACAAACAAACAAACAAAAACCCCCACAGGGCCAGATGTTTTTACTGCAGAATTCAACCAGACTTTCAAAGAATTATTCCACAAAATAAAAAACAGAAGGAACATTGTCAAATTCATTTAATGAGGCCACAGTCATCCTGATACCAAAACCACACAAAGATTCAACACATTAAGAAAGAGACTTACAGACCAATATCCATTATGAACATTGACACAAAAATACTCAATAAAATACTGGCAAACTGAACCCAATAACACATCAATAGAATCATCCACCATGATCAAATAGGCTCTATTCCAGAGATGCAGGTATGGTTCAACATACAAATATCTGCCAATGTAATCCACTACATAAACTGAAAGACAAAAACCACATGATCATCTCCTCCGACGCTGAAGAAAGCCTTTGACAGAATTCAACACCTCTTCATGACAAAAGTCTTGGAGATATCAAAGATAAAAGGGACATACCTAAACATAATACAATATACAGCAAGCCAACAGCCAACACCAAATTAAATAGGAAGAAACTCAAAACAATTCCACTAAAATCAGGGACAGGACAAGGCTGTCCACTCTTTCCATACCTATTCAATATAGTATTGGAAGTTCTAGCTAGAGCAATAAGACAACTAAAGGAGGTCAAGGGGATACAAATTGGAAAGTAAGAAGTCAAACTATCACTATTCGCAGATGATATGATGGTATACATAATTGACTCCCAAAACTCTAACGGGAACGCCTTTAGTAAAGTAGCTGGATACAACATTAACTAAAATAAATAAATAAATAAATAAATAAATAAATAAATAAATCAGTAGTCCACCTGTACACAAATGATACTACTTCATGTCTCTATTTAACCACATTGGCTAATCTACCTGTGGTTATAACAGGCCCAAGTGTAGCTTAAGCTACTACTCCAGAGGGTATAGCATAGTTCATAGACCTTGACAGCATCCACATAGTTTTAACTCTAAAGACACACAGGCTGCATTAGCTACGAAAGTACTGCTACTTCCATGTAGATTTCTAAGAATGTCTCTCAGAGACCCATTAGGAGTCAGGTAAAGAATGCTAAAGGAGTGCTAATACACCATAGAACTATTCCATAAGGACAATTTAAGAGGAAACCCTAGATCAGGGCCACTACATAAAGACCACATAAAGGACTACTGGGACCATGGAAATAAGGCCAACTCCAAGAAACCAGAAATTCAGAGCCTCATTGTGCCAAAACAATTACAGACATATCTTCCAATCTGTGAGACATGACATAGGCTCTTCCTAGAAAACCTGTGGGAGTAAAGCCTTCTGGAAGTTTGGGAATCTAATTTCATTCCCGTGTGTTCAAAAGGAAAGTATGGAATCAAAGAAGATTACTTTCAAGCCTGATGATTTAATACTGTCTGTCCTGCTTTCTATTGGATTCCCCAGGGACCTGCCAATCTTATTTTGCTCCTTGGAGTGAGAATGTCTCCTTGATGCCTCTCCTACACATAATTGTTTGCTTTCACAGGCTCACATGGGAGGAGAATTTGTCTTAATATTGTAAACATGATCCTATGTTGAAGTACTAGTGGGGAGAGGAAAGATTCTAAAGAAAGATACTTATGCCTATTTCTTTGGCTATCACACTGTCATAAGTGTTTTGTTTTTAAGTATTTTGTTTTTTTGAGACTGGGTTTCACTGTATTGCTTTGGAGCCTGTCCTGGAACTAGGTACGTAGACCAGGCTGGCCCGGAACTCACAGAGATCTACCTGCCTCTGCCTCCCGAGTGCTGGGATTAAAGACCTGCACCACCAACACCTGGCTTGTCATAAGTATTTTAAAACTTGAAAAATTATTGTTCTTAACAGGAATGAAATAGTTGGAGCAGCTGAAGCTGATCTCCATAGAAAAGACACTGAAACTTCCATTTTACATACCAGTCAAAGGAACGGACATAAGTACAAAGAATTCTGCCATTACAGGACTCGGTGAGAATCATATATCCCATGAAACCAACCCTTTTCTTTTTTTTAAAAAGAAGAGTCATTAAGACCCCTATCTTAACTGGGACAAATTAAAAAAAAAACTGTCTCTGCAATAGCAATTTAGAACAAACAAGCCTACATTCTCTTTCTCACTGATGCAAGGACTGTGTAACATGTGCCACACTTGCATTTACATATTTCTACCATTTGCTCCATGATTTTCTAGAAATTATAAGACAGCCATAGTCATGTTGGGGAGGAAATGAGGCTTCTTACTCCATCTGTTTTGGCCAGACTGTAAATAAACACATTCTTTTTTCTTTCTTTCTTTCTTTCTTTCTTTTTTTCTTTTTTCTTTTTCTTTCTTTCTTTTTTTTTTTTTTTTTTACCAATTTCTGTTTCATAATTTTTTAAAATACAGTGAAACCAAGATGGCATATACCTAAGTATCTGTTGACAATAGGCCAGATTAAATATGACATATGCAAAATAAAAGAAAGAAATGAAGACCATCTTTAGAAAGTGCTTGTTTATTCTAGAGGCAGAAGGCAGGAAGATCTCTGAGTTCAAGGCCAGCCTGGTCTATACAGTGAATTCCAGGACAGCCAGGACTATACAGAGAAACCCTGTCTAAAACAACCAACCATCCACCCAGACAACCAACCAACCAAACAGTAAAACAAACAAATAAACAAAAAGCTGGAGCTGAGCTACATAAAGATGCCAATGGTACAATGGTGCTTGTAAGAAGTAAGGTTTTTCCTCCCGCCGCCTGGTCTTGTCCCGCCACCGCGCCAGCCCCAAATAATGCACAGAGACTCTGTATTTGATATTATGCTGTTGGCCAGTTACTTGTTTCTTATCGGCTAGCTCTGTCTTAAGTATTAACCCATTTCTATGTATTACCGAGAGCGGAGGAATGGCGGCTCTGTTCTCTCCAGACTCTCCATGTTGACTCCTCCTCCCTACTTCCTCTTTCCTGCCAGTCTCCTAGTCCCTCCTATCTTTCTTTCCTATTGGCCAACAGTGCTTTATTCATTAACCAGCATGAGAAACATATACAGAATGACATCTCTCATCAGGTACCATAATCACTCATTCTATATAGCAGAGACCTGAACATTTCACAATAGACTGGGACAAATACCAGCTGTTCTCTGACCTGATAAAGCATTGAAAAAAATGTATAAAAATATAATGCTTGCTTTTAAACTGTGTTGCTGCCCCCAGTTCTCTATCTTTTTTTTTTAAATTTTTATTTGGTTTGCTCTGTTTTGGGGGAGGTTTAAGACAGGGTTTAATCTGTAGCTTTGGAGCCTGTCCTGGAACTAACTCTGTAGATCAGGCTGGCCTAGAACTCACAGAGATCTGCCTGCCTCTGCCTCCCGAGTGCTGGGATTAAAGGTGTGTGCCACTACCACCTGGCCTGCAGCCATCTTTCTAGACCTCCCCCCTCCCATATAGTACAAGAGGAAGAAAGGCTCTCACCATAGGTATTACGATGTCAGACATTCTATAACCTCTGAATTCTGCTTCTAGAATACTAGAGTTGCTGTTGCCTCGAGATTTCCACAACACACCTCTTGCCAGCTGAGCCAAAATGAAGGCTCTATTTTGGCTTTTCTGTGTGTTGTGTTTTGTTTCTTACCTCTGTGCTGGTAAGTCATAGATACCTGGACATCCTTATGTATTCTTCATTCCCTTCTATGTCCAAAGACCATTCTGCTGTCCATCTCATCCTTATTTTACTTCTTATCCCTTTCATAACTAGTTTAACCTCCTTCTTCACTGCCTTTTCTTATTCTCTCCTCCCTCATCTACATTTACACATCCTCTTCCATTTTTTTTACTTCCTTCCCCTCTCTACTTCTAATTTCTGCCCCATCTTTTTTAATTTCACTGCATCAGATAGAACATCTTTGCCTAGCTTTCATTTAGTTTACATTCTCAGAGAAGAAAAGGCATATCATCAGGTTATGGTCATGGTGGGAATATCACACATCTGCTCACACAGAAGAAATCCCACATGTGAAAGAAGTTAGGCCATGATGAATAGGCAACAGAAACTTTGTAGCTTAGCCATGATGAATAGGCAACAGAAACTTTGTAGCTTAGCCATGATGAATTGGCAACAGAAACTTTGTAGCTGAATTTGACTAGATTAACTAAAAAACAATCAGAAAGTTCATCAGCATTGATATTGTTTTTAATGTTATCTTCATCCATTCCTATAACTATCATACTCCTTTTCAGTGCTCCAAATTCCAAGACAGAGTTTGAGTTCAAGCCCATTGATTGGAAATCTATCACCAGTGGACAGCTACATTGATATACCATGGCTGGTATCTATGCCTGGAAATTGTCAGGGTATTGTCCTGACTCCATGGCTGATACTCTCTACAGCTAACTGTCTGAAGAAATCGTAAGTGGGTGGTGGGGAAGAATGGTCTGGGGTCTTGGATATGGTTAAATGAGTTTTTCTTTTTAGGACTCCTGCTGGTGAAATATTCCAGAGAACTCAATGAAGAAGGTGCAGATAAGAATCAATCATCTTTTGGTATTAAAATCATATAACTGGCTTGCTTCTATTATCTAACTGAATTCTTTTTTGTCTTCTTACACTATTGTACCATGGTCTGCATGAAAGGCTGTGGGACTAGGAAGCCATGTTTGGTTTCATTTTTGTGTGTTTGAAACCTTTAAAAAAGCTTTATTTAGAAATGTATGCTTTCATATTGGACATCATTTGTAGTTGAACTTTTTTTGTCAGGTCTGTCAGATTCCCCAATAATTACATAGAGACCCATTCATAATTAAGAAAGCTCAGCCCATAGCTTAGCTTTGTTTCTAATTAGTTCTGTCTCTCTGTCTCTCTCTCTGGTTTTTGAGACAGGGTTCCTCTGTAGCTTTGGAGGTTGTCTTCAATCTCACTCAGTAGACCAGGCTGGCCTCAAACTCACAGAGATCTGCCTCCCAACTGCTGGGATTAGAGGTATGAGCCACTACCACTGCTCGGCTCTAACTAGCTCTTACAGCTTAAATTAATCCATATCTTTTAATCTATGTTCTTTTATGTGGCACAATTACTTTTACTCTGTATTTCCATGTTGCTTCCTCTGTGTCTTCTTATTTCTTCTTCACAACATCCTTTGTGTCTGGAAATCCTGCCTAGCTTTTGGCCATTCAGCTTTTTATTAAACCAATCAGAGTAACAACATCTTCACAGTGTACAAAAAGATAATTCCATAACACAGTTTTATCTTAGTTTGGATTGTCTTTAGTGATTCTATTTCTACTTTCATGTCTTGAACTATTTTTCCTATTCTGTTTTACTGTTTGTGTTTTCACAGACTTCACTAAGGATTTTATTCATATATTCTTTAAGGCCCTTGAATATATACATAATTGCTATTTTGGAGTCCTTGTCATGTGCTTCAGCTATATTGCACTTCTCAGAGCCTATTGTAATAGTGTTACTGTGTTCTGGTGGAGGCATATTGTCCTGTGTTCTGGTGGAGGTGTATTATCTTGGCTGCTAATGTTTGTGCTTTGTGCTGGTGTCTGGGCATCGGGGAGGATGACTGAGGTGATTCTATGTGTCAATATCGGGTCTTGTCCTTGTTGGGTGGGTATTCCATTCCTTGGTTTCTGTTGCACCCTTTAGATGTTAGGGAAGCATGCTGGCTGTGGGTTCCATGGTAGAGAGTGCTTCTTCATGTTATTTGGTGGCAGAAAGGAGTAGAGGTGGGCTTACAGGAAAGGCTTAAAGGGGCTTCAGGAAAGAGATAAGAGGATCCTGTCTACACTGAGAGGCAGGATCCCTGGAAATTGCAGATTTGGTAGAAAACATGAATTTTGCAAGTAAGGTGCAAAGAATAATTTGAAGATACAGCAATGAATAGGCTAGGGGACTTTTGGTTTGAACCAGGAGTTGAACTCTCCAGTGAATGGAGTTGAGGAGGGAAATGAGGCACCTGTAAGCAAGTTGTTACCAGGCTCAGGATGAAAATGGAGAGAATAAAATGGAAGGCAGGAAGGTTAGTGTGAATAACTTACCTGAGCCCCTGCCAGGTTTGGCCCTGAGTGTCCTGGGTAGAAAGTGTTTTGAGGTATCAGGGGGTAAGCATAAAGAAATAGATATGGATAGAGGGAGTGGAGAAGGATGAAATCTGTGTTCACATCAAGATTAGGTGGAGTCCCTAGGGAATGGAGGGAGAGTAGGAGAACAGCCCTCTGCAAGCATGCTGCTACAGGGATGGGGAATGAGACTGGAAATATTTTAATGGAGGACAGGAAAGAGAGGAAAACAAACCACCTGCCTATAGTCAGGACCAGTGTGCCCACTGGGGGCGCCAGGCAGAAAGTGTGTCTAGGCGTGAGTGGCTGACAGAGGCTGAGTTCAAAGCAAGTGAGTCCCCAGGGATTAAAGGTGAGGTGTGAGAAGAGCACATACAAGCAGTCTGCTACAGGGTTGGGGATGAGACTGGAGTGATCGTAGTGGAGGACAAAAAGGAGAGTGGAAACTGCCTACCTGAATACCAGACTCTTGTGGACACTTGGGATCCCAGGTAGATAATTTGAGCTTATTTTTCATCTTGGAGAATGTTAAATCTGGAGACTGTTAAATGGAGTTTGAATACGCAGTCCTTCTTTTCTCAATTTATGGGATTCACTTAGATCCAAGCATACAGAACAACTTTTTGAGAATCAGATAGTTGGTAGTAGAGCTGTAGAAATAGAAAGAATCCAAAAGCCAATATAAGGCCTTATATAGCTATGGTGTGGCTTGAAATTAGGATAGTTTTGTATAAATGAAAAACTGGGTTATTTTATTACTTTGAATTTGATGCATGCTGCTAAACAAAGCCTTTCATAAGAGATTATATGGGAAATTCTTTATTGTGATCAATTAGATTATTGCACGTCTTTCTCTTACCATAGGAAACTGTCACACCTGGACATTTCAGGAGTAAATGACCCAGAAAGCATTCCACGTGGCCAAAGAATTTGCCTCCATCCCAAGTTTGATCCTAAAGATGAAAACGATCCACTGAAAGCGGATATTGGCCTGGTCATTCTTGAAGAACCACTCTATGGGGACGATATACCAATATCCCAGTCCTCTAATATATCCTTGAAAAGCTGTTCCAAGTGCCAATACAGAAGCTGTAATGTGTATGAATATCAGAGTAAGTAAAAGGAGTCAGGTTACACTATTTTGTGATTTCGGCTCTGTCACATGACTCATTTTCTAAAGAAATTAAGTCACTGAAGTGGGAAGAATAATCTAGAGGAAATGGTAGAGATCCTTAATCCATATTACCTCAGTACATTGGGAGATAAACTGAAACATAAGGACGAAATGGGATATGCCTGTGTTTAAGTCTAAACTCTTGTTACAGAGCTCTTTCTATACATAGGTATTTTAACTACTTGTTGCTATGGTGAAAGATCTAAGAGATTATTTGAGAGAGGATAGATTTATTTTGACTTATGGTTTCAGAAAGTTCCATATGTCTTTTTGTCTTATAGTACTGGGCAGAACACTGTAGCAATTCGAGCATGTGGTGGAGGCTGTTCTTCACTTCTTAGTAGAGAGAAGGGAGGAATAAAAGAAGGGGCAGAGGCATGTCCCCAGTTAACTGCCTCTCCAACTAGGGTGCACTTCATACCTTTAACCATATCTCAACTCTGCTATCATATTCAAGTGATTATTTCATTGTTTTGTTAAGAGCTGTCATGAGCTAGATGTTTGAAATTGCTATAAGACATGCTCCCATTTGGGCTTTACTTAGGTATTCCAAGGTGTTTCGGTTGTTGTTTTTTGAGACAGTCCTGGCTATCTTGGAATTTGTTTTGGAGACCAGGCCTGGCCTCTAACTCACAGGTATCTGCTTGCTTGTTGCCTCCTGAGTACTAAGATTAAAAGTGTGAGCCACCACACCCTGCAATCCAAGGTTTTTCTTAATCCAATCAAGTTGATAATCAGGACTAACCATCACAACAGGTTAAGGAAGGTATAAATGGTTCAAAAAGTCCAAGGTAAGGAGATGTCTAAAGAGAGGAGAGAATGGAAAGGGTAAAGTGGGAGGAGGAGGATAGGAAGGGAAAGGAGAATGTTTTGGCAAGAATATGTGATTGAATTGAGAGTGGTTACAAACCAAAATCAGAGATTGGGTGCTTTGGGTCTCAGCATCATCTCTTATGCATACCTTTAGGTAGCAGGAAGCTTGGAACCACAACAGTAAAGAGGATAGCTGTGCAGCTGCTAGACTTCTCAACATGCCACCATCAGCATTCCTATCTAGAGAAGACTGAAGGATTGTGTATTCAGAGTCAACCACGGGAAGATTGCTGGGTAACCATATGCAAAAGCGATATTAAGAAAAGGAAGGAAATGAAAAAATGTAGAATTCTATAAATATGCAAGTAAATGTCAGCTAACAGGACATAAGAAAGTTGGCACCAGGCAAATACTTGAATCTGGAAAGTTCCATTGGATATTTTAGAGGTATAGAGTCTACCACAAGGAAGGCTTTAGATACAAATGAGAAATATGAAAAAAATTAATCATTAGACACAAATACATTTTATCATTCTAATTTTATTATAATTTCTTAGTAGGTACCATAATAAACACAGTATGGCTCAAACTTAGCTGTTCACCTTTCCATGTAGAAAAGCTACAGAAAATAAAGGCCCATGCAGGAAAACTTTTAGGTACCCGCATATCTCAGACATCTAGAAATCACACAAATACTAGTGAATAGATTTCAAGGGAAGTGTTAACTTGAACTGTGGAGATCTGGACTAAGTTATTGAAAGGTATGCAAGCCTTGAATGCTAAGTCTTGAGAGATGAGAAATAACTTAAGCAAGAGCAGATGGAACATTAAGATGAGTAAATAATACATGAAAAGTTATAGAGTTAGTAGATAGGTTTCATAGTGGATAATTACAAGGGATGAAGTGAATATCAGTACTATTTCTGGAAATATATGTTAGTTTCTAGAAACACAGGGTTGCAAAAGAACTTCAACTAAGCATTTAGGGGACTGCTATTTATTTGGTGAGATAGAAAAGAAATATCTGAGACCAGTCCTTAGAATGTTAGTTTAATGGAGGAGATAAAGGAGCCAGAGTCCTCACAAACATCAGAGGGCTTACAGTAGAATGCAGGTGCTAGAAAGGACAATACATATCTGCACAGTATGAAATTAGCCCTGAGAGTAAAAGGAAAGTTAATTTAAAGTGTGTTGAAATTAATATTTCAGCTACTACTTAAAGATAAGTAGCCATTTACCAAATAGGATAAGAATAAAACAAAGTGATGGTATTCAAATCATGGGGAGCACAATAAGACAAGTCTGGAAAATGTAAAAATACCTTGATTTGTGTGTAAGGGGAAGTAGAGTACAAGGGAGGAGAGAAGTGAGATACAAATAACCATGGGGCAGATGATGAATGTGCTATTACCTAATTAACATAAACATACTGTATTATTTAGAGAATTGGTAGACATGCAAATATTTTGACAAGAGAAATGGCATGACAAAGTTTATATTCTGAAGTTTACTCACAGTGGTGAAAATGCCTAAAAAGGAAGGCTTGTTGAAGAAATGCAAAATAACAGTTTATGAGATACAGCATTTATGCACTCTTTATTCTTACATAATAACCTTATCTGAACTAGGATAATGGCAGTGAGGATAGGGAGGTTTATGTTCTCATCAATTTATAGTTTTGAAATGTGATCAAGAATAAGTAAATAATACAGGTGCTATTTAAATATTTTGAGTAAAATACACCAGGAAAATAAACATAAACAGGGCTTATTATAACCTTGCAATCTGAATGCAATCTTGAACAACTGGACTCTAAAGACAGTATTAGCCTAAAAAACTTGCAACACAAGATAGAAGAGTTTTTGTTTATATAATCCTGTTCAGTGGGATTAGGTAATCAAAAAAGAAATTTGTAAAAAAAAATAATAAAAGTGTTTGAATGGAGTTGAGGAAGACGTGATGAAGGAAGTCTTGGGTATCAGAGCAGTGTTACAAGTATAGGGTAGAGGAAAAGCCAATACAAAGATTTTGATGTGGAAATATGTAACAGAAAGGAGAGGCCAGGCTATAGCATCCTAGTCAAGACAACAATAATAGGTGTTGTCAAAGTGGTAACAAGGATTTCAAAGGTCTTATAAGCTGTTATACAAACTAATCTTTAAACATTGTTAAGACTTGGAGGCACTCACTGAAGGATTTTTAAGCAGAAAGACGTAGTTGCTTTTCTTAAATTTTAAGAGAAGAAGTTTCGATGCTGTATTAAAATCAGATGTAAAAAGGATAAGGGTGTGCCTTTTCATAAGGACACTATATTATTTATCAAGAATAGGAGCATCCCTAGAAAAGAAAATTACTGAATTTAATTATTAAAATACTTTATTGGGAAATTAAAGTATCAGAGTCATTATTTGCTAATAGACATATGTGGGAGAAGGAGAGGCACTAGGAATGATTTTAAGATTTCTTTTTAATTTTAAAACTTTAACTTTTGAAAGGTATTGTAACTGTTACTACAACACAGAGAAAAGGGGAGATTTTGAATGAAGATTATTGGTTCTTTTCTATTGTAACATTATTTGACATACCTTTTAGAAATACAAATTCAGTGCTGATAAATTAGCAGTCTGAAAATCTGTAATTAGTACCAACATACTTGAATTGTATGTGCCCATGTCTTACACTGGCATTTTTAATTTTCCTCTCTTCCTCATATAACATATGAATTGTATGCACAGTCGACTTCATACGTGACAAATATTTCTTGGTTTTCTTATTCAGATACAGAGAGCCAGTCCTGTTCTGTGTCTCCTAAAGAACCACTGGGAACTGGTAGGCCTCACACACAAGACTTCAAGGATATGTCAAAATCCCACTGTCATCATTAGAACATCTCCCTACTTTACCTGGATGAAACGATTCATCAAAGCATCTAAGAAGTTACTGAATCCAACTTCCTCCTTACATTGTAGGACATCACAGCAAATTGAGCATGTTCCGCAGATCAGACACAGCCATAATTATATTCCAACCGCAGCCTCTTCTAATTCCTCCTTGAAGCCTTTGCAAAGAAACTTGGGCATTTCTCCACAACTCAAACATATCAAATATTTACCAACAGTCTTAAAGTTTAGTGACACCAATGGCCACAAATTGTTCCTTGATAACAGCAACACCCCAGAAGCTATCAGGCTTCCAGCTGAGCAAATGAAGTTATTGCCTGGTGCCAGACTTACAGAAAATTCTGGACAGAATTTAAATCAAGTTACCTCTCTACCTAATGCAGGTAATTTATATACATATCCATTACCTCAGCTTGTTTCTGAAACAGCTATGCCAGATAATTCTCCTAAGGCTGATAGAGTGAAACCCGGGGATTTTGCAGGGGACAGTCCTGATCAGTCTTTTGATAAAATCATGGCAGATATAATTAAACAATGGAGTCCATCAGCAGATGATGGAGTGGAGCCTGTGAATTCTAATGACACCAATACAACTGATGATTCTTGGACAGAAAATGCTACTGATTTAGATGACTATACAAACATTTTGAAAGCCATTCAAAACAAATCTCAACATCAAAACACAACTCAGGCCAACGTAGCACCAAATTTTCCTTCGTTTGATAAAGAGGGACCCTGGGAATTTTTTACTTCAAGTGGATCTGCTACCAAAACAGGTATGCCCATTGAGTCCTTACTAATAAAAAAACCTTTTGATCTCCCTCCTGTTGAAAATACAAGGATTCCCCAACCAAGTGGTACAATTGAGCCCTGGAGTTCTCCCTCTGACTCTAATGCAAATTCTCAAGATCAACCAGTTATTGATTCAATAAGAGCTAAGAATCATCGTGTGTCTGATGCAGATAGACTCCAGATTGTACCAATGGCCAATGTAGGTATATCCTCAACTTCTAAAGCTGCTACCTATGCATCTTTGCCTAATGGTCTTCAGTCTAAAAGCCCTCCATACCAAATTTCATTCAGTACACTATTATCAAAAGGCCAGTCTTCATTTAAGGACATGATACAACCTACAGCTGAAATTCAACCATAACTGAAAGCTGATTCTGAAAAAGCTGGACTTCCACAGCAATCTTAGCACAAAGTATTAGTAATGTGAAGTAGACAAATCAGGAATTCTTGTCTGTATTGAAGCTCATATGTTTATTGAGAAAAGTTACCTTCACTCCCCTGAACAACCTATAGCCCCATTTGAAATGCCATTTGTCCTAATGGAAAATTATATAACATCCATCTCTTTTCAAAAATACTAAAATAAAAGCAAATTAAAAAGCAAATATCTTTCTTGTTAATTAGATCTTGTTTTGTGCTGAAGTTAGTAATTTTTGTTTTGTTTTGTTTTTGTTTTTTTTGAGACAGGATTTCTCTGTGTTGTTTTACAGCCTGTCCTGGAACTAGCTCTATAGACCATGCTGGCCTTAAACTCACAGAGATCTGCCTGCCTCTGACTCTCAAGTCAGCAGGGATTAACGGCGTGCACCACTGATGCCTGACAAAGTTTGTAATTTTTAAGAGGATTAGTTTTTTTTTTTTTTTACATGTAGAAGGCTTACATGTTGAAAAATTATTCCAACAGGATTGAAAAGTCACACTGTTTAAAACACCATGAAAAGGACTTACTGGTACTACATTTTTCCTAAATTTTAAAACTTTTGAAAAGCTATAGGATATCATAATAAGAATATTAACATAGATATAACTCGTTCACCTTAATTCATAATTTTTATGTTTTATTTGTACTAAATTTTGTTTGTTATGCAATTTCAATGCATATAGTTTAATGTATACATCTCCACAGTCATGAGATATAATAGTTCTATTATGATGAGGAACCCTCATGTTACCATTTTATAGTCATATCTACTGCTTTTTCACAAGAGCCTTATTACTAATCCTTAGTAGGCATTTAACATGCTCTCTATCAAAGTAATTATCATTTTGAGAATGTTATAGAAATCATTTGATATGTAATATTTTCTAATTGATTTTTTAAATTCAGTATAACTTCCTTACTATTTATATAAGTTAATGCTTGTACCACTAATTATTTCAAATCACATCACTATGTTAGATGGTGTGGCTGTATCACTGTTTCTCTGTCCACTCACACACTGAATGTATCTGGATTACTTGTCATTTTTCATTATAGTAAATATTTTCTACGGATATCAATATACAGTATTTGTGTGCACACAAAACTTATTTTTTCTAGGATCAAGATTCCTGGTTAACTAAGTTTCTCTTTCTGTTGCTGTGATAAAAACATTCTGACAAGAACAACTTAAGGGAGGGTTTATTCTAGCTCATAGTTCAGATGATAGTTCATTGTGGTGAAGTCAGAGCTCTAGGATCTTGAAGGAACCAGTCATATTACATCCACAGTCAGGAAAAGTGCATACTGTGCTCAACTCATTTTCTCCATTGTATACAATCCAGGATCCTTTGCCAGGGAATGGTCTCACCCATAATTTAGAAGGTTCTTCCACATCAATTAACACAATCAAAATAATCTCACACTGGCATACCCAGATGCCCATCTCCCAGGTGATTTTAGATTCTGTCAAGTTGACACTAACACTAACCATCACACTCAGTGATTACATATTGGAATTTTGATTTATATAATAATAGGTTCGTTCATGTGCAATTATCAAAATAATAGAAAGATATCATGAGCAGTTTCCTCACTTTCCCTCAATAGTAATACTTTGCAATATTATAACATAGATAATAACCACGATACGGCCACAACCCAATCATGATTCTGTTAGCATATCCTAAGAGAGGGTGTGGTGGTTTGAATGAGATGGCCCCCACAGGCTCATATATTTGAATGCTTAGTCACCAAGGAGTGGAATTCTTTGATAGGATTAGAAAAATTAGGATAGATGCCTTGCCTCACCCTCCCTGGGGAGCAGATGGGGGGACTGAATGGGGGAGTCAGTGGGGAGCATGGGAGGATGAGAGGGAGAGGGAACTGGAAATTGATATATAAAATGAAAACAAAATATTAAATAATAGTAGAAAACCCCACATCTTAACAAACAGCAAAAAAAAAAAAAAAAAAAAAAAAAAAAAAAAGATAGGTGCCTTGTTGGAGGAAGTGTGCCATACCAAATCCAGTAGATTCTATGTGACAAGGTTCCATGTGGAGCAGAGAAGAAGGTATATTCTTTTGTTTTTGGATGGAATGTTCTATAGATGTCTGTTAACCCCAGTTGAGACATAACTTCTGTTAATTCTTTTTGTTTCTTTGTTGAGTTTCTGATTTGTGGTCCTGTCTAGTGTTGAGAGTGGTGTGTTGAAGTCTCCCACTATAAGTGTGTGAGGTTTTACATGAGCGTTGAGTTTTAAGTAGTGTTTCTTTTACGAATGTGGGTGACTTTGTATTAGGGGCATAGATGTTCAGAACTGAGACTTTGTGTTGATGGATTTCTCCTGCGATGAATATGAAATGACCGTCTTCATCTCTTTTGACTAATTTTGGTTTAAGTCTAACTTGTTAGATATTAGGATAGCTATGCCTGCTTTGCTTCTTATTTGATTGGAAAATCTTTTCCCAAACCTTTACCCTGAGGTAATATCTGTCTTTGAAGCTTAGATGTGTTTCTTGTATGCAGCAGAAGGATGGATTCTGTCTTCGTATCTATTCTGTTAGTTTGTGTCTTTTTATAGGTGAGTTAAGACCATTAATGTTGAGGGTGAGTAAGGACCATTGATTATTGATGCTTGTTTGATTTAGGTTTGTTGTTGGCAGTGGTATTGTGAATATATTAGTTCTGCTTCACCCTTGGTTTCTGGTGTAGTTGGATTATCTGTTGCCTACATTTTTGTGGGCATAGTTAACTTCCTTGGGTTGGAGTTTTCCTTCCAACACTTTCTGGAGGGCTGGATTTGTAGACACGTATTGGGAAAATCTGGTTTTGTCATTAAATATCTTGTTTTTTTTCCATCTATAGTGATTGAGAATTTTGCTGGATATAGTAGCCTAGGCTGGCATCCGTGTTCTCTTAATACTTTTAGAACATCTATCCAGGACCTTTTGGCCTTGAGGGTTTCCATGGAGAAGTCAGGTGTAATTTTGATAGGTCTGTCTTTATATGTTACCTGTCCTTTTTCCTTCTCTGCTCTTAATATTCTTTCTTTATTCTGTATGCTAGGTGTTTTGATTATTATATGTCGAGGGGTCTTTTTTCTTTGGTCCAACCTATTTGGAGTTCGGTATGCTTCTTGTACTTTCATGGGCATGTCCTTCTTCAGATTTGGAAAGTTTTCCTCGATGATTTTGTTGAATATGTTTTCGGCACCTTTGAGGTGGGCTTCCTCACCTTCCTCTATGCCTATTTTTCTTAGGTTTGGCCTTTTCACGGTGTCCCACATCTCCTGGATGTTTTGTGTTAAGGATTTGTTGGATTTATGATTTTCTTTGGTCGATGAATCTATTTCTTCTAGTTTATCTTCTGCGCCTGAGATTCTCTCTTCCATCTCTTGAATTCTGTTGGTTATGCTTGTGTCTGTAGTTGCCGATTTTTTGCCCAGTTTTTCTATTTCCAGCATTCCTTCTGTTTGTGTTGCCTTTATTTTCTCTATTTCAGTTTTCAAGTCTTGAACTGTTTCCTTCACCTGCTTAATTGTTTTTTCTTGGTTTTCTGTACTTTCCTTAAGGAATTTGTTCATTTCTTCCACTTTTTTGTTTGTTTTTTCCTCCATTTCTTTAAGGGATTTTCTCACATCTTCTTTGAGGGCCTCTATCATTTTTATGATGGTAATTTTTAAGTCATTCCCTTCTGCTTCCTCTGCTTTGTTGTTGTGTTCCGTTCTAGTTGGTGTAGATTCCCTAGATTCTGGTGGTGTCATGCTTGTCTTTCTGTTGTTAGGTGTTTTCTTGTATTGCCTTCTTCCCATAGCTTCTTCCAGTAGGTGTTGGTGGGGTCACCCCCTCTCTCTATGGTACTTCCCCGGTGGGCTTATGTGGGTCTGAGATTCAATATCTGTAGCTCTGTGTGGTCCAAGTTCTCTAGGAGGACTCTCCGCAGACAGGGACCCAGGGATGGGGTCAAGGATGAGGATCCAGTAGAAGATGCCAGCAGGAACTCACAGTGGTCCCACAGAGATAGGCGGATCTCTGGGAGGGGCCAGGGACTCCAGCAGAAGACTGGAGGTTGGGTCAGAGACCAAACATGTGGAAATTACGGGTGGTCCCACATGGATAGTCAGGTCTCCTTTGTTCAGAGTTGCTCAGAGAAGTCTCGGAAGTAGGGTGGACTGTTGGCTCCACCCTCTGTCCCAGTGTTCAACCAGAGGGGCAGGACCGTGGGTAGGGTAGGGCACAGGGTGGGGGGGGCAGGCTCGCGGTGGGGATGGGTGGGGGTGTATCAGAGCTCCAAGGTTGCTCTCGATGGGGAGAGGAGACAGGAGCTGCAGGATCAGGGGCCAACCCAGGGAGTTCTGGGGGGGGAGAGGTTGTAGGGTCAGGCAGCCCCGATTGGGCCCAAACTCACCTCTGGCCAATAGCTGGCAGAAGAGGACAAAGGCTGAGCTGAAACTTGGGAAGATTTTGCAGGATAGTAGGATCTCACTGGAAACTGGATCTCTCCAGCTGAGGCCTCTTTCTTTAGCAGAGGCCCGGATTTGGGGGTCAATGATCTTGCCCGCAGGAACTCAGAGTGGACCCGCAGAGATAGGCGGATCTCTGGGAGGGGCCTGGGACTCCAGCAGAGGACTGGAGGTGGGGTCAGAGACCAAGCAGGTGGAAATTACCGGTGGTCCTGCGTGGATAGGCAGGTCTCCTTTGTTCAGAGTTGCTCTGAGAAGTCTCCTAAGTAGGGTGGACTGTTGGCTCCACCCTCTGTCCCAGTGCTCAACCAGAGCAGCAGGACCGTGGGTAGGGCAGGGCACAGGGTAGGGGGGCAGGTTCGCGGTGGGGATGGGTGGGGGTGTATCAGAGCTCCAAGGGTGCTCTCGATGGGGACAGGAGACAGGAGCAGCAGGATCAGGGGCCAATCCAGGGAGTTCAGGGGGGCGGCGTCTCTA